CCCACTCTGAGAGACAGAATTTAAAAACAAAATTCAGGAAATCACATTGTTTGATTTTTAAAGAATTTATTTGTCTTGCACTGCTGAACATAAGTATTTGAACACCTAAGAAACAGCAAGAATTCTGGCTCTCAAAGACCTGTTACTGTGCCTTTAAAAAGTCCACCTCTACTCCACTCATTAATATAACTTAGTAGCACCTGTCTGAGCTCTTTAAAGACACCTGTCCACCCCACAGTCAGTCAGACGCCAACTACTACCATGGGCAAGACTAAAGAGCTGTCAAAAGACACCAGAGACAAAATTGTGGACCTCCACAAGGCTGGAAAGGGCTACGGGGCAATTGCCAAGCAGCTTGGTGAAAATAGATCAACTGTTGGAGCAATTGTTAGAAAATGGAAGAGGCTAAAGATAACTGTCAGTCTACCTCGAACTGGGGCTCTATGCAAGATCTCACCTTGTGGGGTATCACTGATAAGAAAGGTGAGGAATCAGCCCAGAACTACAAGGGAGGAGCTGGTCAATGACATGAAGAGAGATGGGACCACAGTTTCAAAGGTCACTGTCGGTAGAACACTATGCCGTCATGGTTTCAAATCATGCATTGCATGGAAGGTTCCCCTGCTCAAGTCAACACATGTCCAGGCCAGTCTGAAGTTTGCCAATGACCATCTGGATGATCCAGAGGACGCATGGGAGAAAGTCATGTGGTCAGATGAGACCAAAGTAGAACTTTTTGGTCTAAACTTCACTCGTCGTGTTTGGAGGAAAAAGAAGGATGAGTTGCATCCCAAGAACACCATCCCTACTGTGAAGCATGGGGTTGGTAACATCATGCTTTGGGGGTGTTTTTCTGTGAAGGGGACAGGACGACTGCACTGTATTAAGGAGAGGATGAATGGGGCCATTTATTGTGAGATTTTGAGCAACAACCTCCTTCCCTCAGTCAGAGCATTGAAGATGGGTCCTGGCTGGGTCTTCCAACATGACAACGACCCGAAGCACACAGCCAGGATAACCAAGGAGTGGCTCTGTAAGAAGCATATCAAGGTTCTGGAGTGGCCTAGCCAGTCTCCAAACCTAAATCCAATAGAACATCTTTGGAGGGAGCTGAAACTCCGTGTTGCTCAGCAACAGCCCCGAAACCTGACAGATCTAGAGGAGATCTGTGTGGAGGAGTGGGCCAAAATCCCTGTTGCAGTGTGTGCAAACCTGGTCAAGAACTACAGGAAACGTTTGACCTCTGTAATTGCAAACAAAGGCTTCTGTACCAAATATTAACACTGATTTTCTCAGGTGTTCAAATAGTTATGTTCAGCAGTGCAAGACAAATAAATTATTTAAAAATCAAACAATGTGATTTCCTGAATTTTTTTTTATATTCTGTCTCTCAGAGTGGGAATGCAGCACCCACAATGTGAATTTCAGACCCCTCCATGATTTCTAAGTGGGAGAACTTGCAAAATTGCAGGGTGTTCAAATACTTCTGTTCCTCACTGTATATAATGGATATGGGCTAAATGTACACACACTCAGGTTTAATTTGAGGGTATGTACATCCAAATTGGAGGAAGGGTTTAGGAATTACAGCTTTTAAGAGTAGCCAACCCCCCCTTTTTCAAGGGACCAAAGGTAATGGGACAATTGAATCTAAAACTGTTTCATGGCCAGGCTTAGACTACTCCTTTAGTATTTCTTCATCAATTAAGCAGGTAAAAGGTCTGGAGTTGATTCTAAGTGTGGACTTTGCATTTGGAATCTATTACTGTGAACCTATATCATGCGTTCAAAGGGGCTGTCCATGCAAGTGAAACAGGCCATTGTAATGCTTCAAAAACAAAACAAATCCATCAGAGAGATAGCAGCAACATTAGGAGTGGCCAAATCAACAGTTTGGTACATTCTGAGGAAAGAAGAACGCACTGGTGAGCTCAGCAACATAAAAAGGCATGGAAGTCCACAGAAGACAACAGTGGTGGATGTTTGCAGGATCCTCTCTATGGTAAAGAAAAAGCCATTCACATCATCCAGAAAAGTGAAGGACACTCTCCAAGAGGTGGGCGTATCATTGATAAAGTCTACAATCAAGAGAAGACTTCACAAGAGCAAATACAGAGTTCACAATAAGGTACAAACCATTCATAAGCCTGAAGAATAGAAAAGCTGGATTAGACTTAGCCAAAAAACATCTAAAAAAGCCAGACCAGTTCTGGAAAAGCATTTATTGGATGGATAAAACTGAGATTAATCTGTACCAGAATGACGGGAAGAAAAAAGTGTGGAGAAGGTTTGGAATAGCTCATGATCCAAAGCACACAACATCATCTATAAAACATGGTGGAGGCAGTGTGATGGCCTGGGCATGCATGGCTTCCAGTGACATTGGGTCATTGGTGTTTGTTGATGATGTGACAGAAGCAGCCGGATGAATTTTGCAGTGTTTAGAGATATACTATCAGCCCACATTCAGCCAAATGCAGCAAAGTTGATTGAACGAAGCTTCACAGTACAGATGGACAATGATCTAAAAACACTGCAAAATCAACCCAGGAGCTTTTGAAGGAAATTGAGAATGCATTTCACTTGCTGAAGGCAAAACTAAAGGCAGAAAGACCCACAAACAAAGAACAACTGAAGACAGCTGCAGTTAGAGCCTGGCACAGCATCAGAAAGGAGGAAACCCAGTCCTTAATAATGTCCATGGGTTCCAGACTTCAGGCAGTCATTGCCAGTAAAGGATTCTCAACAAAATATTAAAAATTAACATTTTATTTATCGTTATATTCATTTGTTCACTTACATTTGAGCCCCTAAAAATGAAGGGACTGTGTATAAAAATAGTTGCAGTTCCTAAAATTTTTACTTGATATTTATATTCAACCCCTTGAATTAAAGCTGATGGTCTACACACTTCAAATTCATTTGGATTGTTTCGTTTTAATTTATTCTGGTGGCATACAGTGCTAAAAGTATAAAAATTGTGCCTTTTTACCTGTGGCATTCCATTTATTACACATAACTTAATTTCTGAACTTCTTTGTATGTATGGATTGCATGGGTTGTTACCGACATGTGGTGAAATTTTCATGTCATTAGCACCTTTAGAAATATATTTACCTAGAAAAATGGTAACATGTTCAATACTTATTTTACCCACTGTATGTATGTGTGTGTATATGTATATATATATATATATATATATATATTTATATAAAAAATGATGGTGTATGGTAAAGCTACCGCATGTAAAATCTGCTCTTGCCCTGTGGGCCTGATCACTGCAAGGAGAGGTAATAAAAAAATGTATGTGTGAAAGGGTCAACTACCAAAAACTTAAAAAAAAAAATCTTTTCACAACCCAAAACTTATTGTGGCCATATGAAAAAGCTGCAGTAAGGGGATATGATTACCTAAGAGAAATGGGCAAGGCTTAAAGTGTTACTAAACCCAGAACCCTGCATTCACTATATCCGGTCTCACACAGTACACAGAACATGGAAATGCAAATATTTTAGTAAATATAAACTGCTAAATCCTTTTCTCCTCAGAAATTAGAACAGTCTTGTGACTTCTATCAGTGTCCAGCCGAGCACATGCTAAATCTTGTAGGAGGAGTTTTCATTTTGCTCTAGGAGGATGCACTCCTGACCTCTATCTGGACAGTGCTGATTGGCCCCGTGCTGATCACATGCACTCTCCCAAGAAAAAAAAAAAACCTCTTTAACAATACACACCAAGCTGAGCATTCGCAGTGTGTCTCTACAAGATATGTCTTAACAGGAGATAAGAGGGAGACACTGGAAAAAGGGGAGGATCAGAGAAGTCAGGATCAAACAGAGTTTTTACACAATGCAGAGGATTAGCCCCTTTAGGTTCCATAGTGAGTATAACAAGTACGCTTTACTGCATATACAGACTGATTTTACTGTTGTGGGTTTAGTAACACTTTAATTAGTAAAGGAAAATATAATATTCTTTAAAAATATCCCAACATTATTATTTATAATGATCATTCCAAACATCATTCCAAAAATCTGTTTCTTGAATTACAGTACATAATTCATTACCATTGGGTTTTATAAAGCTACTTCAGGTAACGGACAGTGGCAAAAAGAAAAAAAAAGCTGTAGGAACATCCCCCTATATAGCCACTCCCACTCTCAGCAGGCCTTGGTTTTGAAGCAAGCAATAGTGAGATCATAAGAACAAAGGGAATGGACCTAGAACCTGTACTTTAATCCAAAAAATAGATTTTTCTGGCAAGTCACAAATATTACGTTCATATTCATTGAGTATGTAACAAAGAATCTTCAGTCATTATCACTGGGGTATCCAAATGTAGTCCAATTGAGAGGAGAGTAACACTGAAAACAAACCTAACAGGTCCTCAAAAAAAAAAAAAAGGCTCGAGGAAATCAGAGAAGAGCTTTTAGCAACTTACGCCCGAAACTGGCATTAACCACTATTCCTACAGGGCACTTATACCCCCTTCCTGCCCAGGCCAATTTCCAGCTTTCAGGGCTGTCACACTTTGAATGACAATTGCACGGTCATGCAACACTGTACCCATATGTAATTTTTGTCCTTTTTTGTGACAGATGGAGCTTTATTTTGGTGGTATTTAATCACCTCTGGGTTTTTTATTTTTTCTTAAACAAAAACCAAAAACCACAGAACATTTTGAAAAAAAAACACATTTTTTCTTAGTTTTTGTTATAACATATTGTAAACAAGTGATTTTTCTCCTTCACTGATATGCGCTAATGAGGTTGTAGTGATGGGCACTGATAGGCTGCACTGATCGACACTGTTAGGTGGCACTGATGGGCACTGATGAGGAGGCACTGGTAGGTGGCACTGATGGGCATTGACAGGCATCACTGATGGGCACTGAAAGGCAGCACTCATATATGGCACTGATAGGTGTCACTGACTGGCACTGTTAGGTGGCACTGACTGGCACTGTTAGGCGGCACTGATAGGCAGCAATGTCGGGCACTGATAGGCGGCACTGATGCACACTGATAGACGGCACTGACTGGCACTGATATGTGGCACTGATTGGCAGCACTGACTGGCACTGATAGGTGACACTGATTGGCAGCACTGACTGGCATTGATATGTGGCACTGACTGGCACTGATGGGTGACACTGAAAGGCAGCTCAGATGGGCACTGATGGGCACTGGCAGGTGGCATGGATGAGCACTGACAGCTGGGACTGATGGACACTGACAGGTGGCACTGCTGGGGCTATAGATCATCAGGGCACACTGATCATAAGTGCCCTGGTGATCAGTGTACATGTCCCCTCCGAGGAATGCCGATTACCGGCTCGCCTCTCCTCACGAGCTGTCAGCGTGACAGCTCGTGAGGAGAAAAATGCCGATAACCGGCATTTCCCTGTTTACATGTGATCAGCTGTGATTGGACACAGCTGATCACATGACCGAGCCGACATCTTCGGCTCTTTCCGTTGATCGGTGATCCACAGCGCACCACCGATCGCCACGCGCTCCCGGAGCCGCACATGTGCTGTTAGAATGGGAGGACATCATATGACGACCTCCCAGAACGAGAGAACCGCCTTGCGCCAGTCATTGTACTAAATGGCGGGCGGGAGGCGGTTAAACAAAGCCTAAATATCGACCTGGTAGTACATGTTAACAGAAGCCCAGATGGCATTGACTTAAGATCCTGTGTCCAGTACTGTATGACTAAGCAATTTCTACCTTATCTAACCTCCGCCTTGCAGCCTATTCTTTTCTTCAGCGCTGCAGGTCCTCTTTAATTGCTAGCAGTTACTGTGTAGAATAAAAAACATCCATTCCCTCAAAATACAGGTAAACTTGGCAGCGTACGCTGTGTTTACTGCTGACAACTGGCTGTGTGAATATAACTGGCAAAAAAAATCAACTGTCAATATCATACTGAAGAATCAGGCCTTGGCTAAATATTGAATAAAATAATGCTAAATATGTCAGTAATCTACTTTTTCCCTTACTCACCTCAGCAAGAATGCATAGAATATTAAAATTCCTCTAGAATACATGACAGGCTTTCAGTAAAAAAAAAATTAAAAAATTAGACCTCAAAGCAGTTCTGTGTAAAGAGGCACAGTATCGTCATCCATCATCCAACCAAGGACAACATCTGAAACCCATGCATCATTAAATATGGCACTGGCATAGACTATTTCCACAGCTATAGCTAATTACTGTAAGGGATATGGCAAAGCATGTTGGTAGAATGCCAAAACAAATTGGAGAAATTATTTGCTAATAAAATGGAATACATGTTCAATGTTCACTGGAATAATAAACAGGTGCAAAAACTTGATGAATATCTGTATCATACCTCAGCCCCTAAAATATTATTAAAGTCCGCACTAAGTCTTTACTATGTTACATGTAAAAATATAACTCACAACGAATTACACTTTAGACACATGCCTTCAGAAATTAATATCTGAAAGCTCATTCCAATGATTTAGCGAAATATACAGCTTTCTGCTTTATAGGGCACCAGAAAAACACATTTTACAGTAATACATAATTTCTTCAGTTTTCAACAGCATTAAATCTATTTACATGTTTTATACTTTCCTTAAGTTAACAACACTGCAAATTAATACATCATTTTAAAACAAAACGTGGATAATTTTATAAATGCAAAGCTTTAGGCTCCAGCTAAAACCCCTTTCCATTTTAAGCTATTTCAAATCACAGCTCCGTTTGCAGTATCAACATACATTTCAGCAGGGGTGTCCAACCTGTGGCACAAAGGGTTGGGCAACAGCCACTAAGAGGCCCAACAGATTGTGAAATATTGTGCAATACTAGAAGAATCAATGTCTGAATCAAGGCTAGATAAAAAAAAAGCAAGCAAACTAGAGGATATGCCACGACCAAGAGGAGGGAAACTAGGATCATCAACTGATGCTCCAGAGCAGGACAGATGGTCACTACTTGATTCAAGCTGTCACTTGCCGGAACAAAAATTAGATAAACAATCAACCATCCACCTAAAAACAGGTGGGAAAAAAACAACACAATATCCAAACTAGGAAAAACTAGATCAATGTGGTCAACAAGAAACAATGCCAATGGCTGGAAAGGAATGAACCACAAGGTTTGTAAAAACTGAAGGGAACTTGACCTCAACCCTCTTAAAAGAGAGGGTATAGAGATATTTGACACTCAAACAAAGCAGGTATGAGGGTATATTGAAACCTAGACTTGAATGTAAGATACAATATCAGGAGGAAAAGAGGGGGTCCTTCAAACCAAACATCCGCGGGGGTGCTCCTACAGTGTGAAATACCAACCACATTATAAACCTACCTAACTAGTGACCCAATATATGATTCCAGGGTTGTGGAAATTTTTTTAAAAACTACTTGTCCACAGACTATATCTGCGTCCCAGTCTACTTGTCCAGCATGACAATCTACTTGTCCAGATAAAAAAAAACAAAAAAACTATTTTAACCGAAACCGTATTTAAATCTGAGGTACAGTTAGGAATGTCTGGAAAATTTAAAATCAAAAGGGGCTTTATGGCGACTTAAACGTTTAATCTGTGTAATCTATATATAATGTACGTATATCTCCTCCTCCCCTCACTGCCTGTCTCTCCAGCACCGCACCCGGGGACTAGCAGGGAGAGACCTTGCAGTGTAATAAGCACTGATTTGATGCTCATCAGGAAGGGGGAGTGTCGGGTTTATCTTTTATCCCTTTCGCTGCCAGAGCCATTTTTTGCAAACATTTAAAAAATCATTTTAGGCTTGAAGATTACACACAACCCCCAAACATTATACTGTATATTTTCTGAAGGCACAGACTGTAGAGAATAAAATAGTGGTAGTTCCAATTTTTTATGCAGCACGATATAACCACAAAGGTAAAATATTTCAGTAAAATATACACAAGTTAATTTTAGGGCACAAAAAAGCAATAAATTACCCTATCTTTTGGTAAAATATAAAAGATGTTTATAAAAAAAAAGGTTCTACCGAGTAAATAAATATTCAACATGTCAAACCTTAAACTTGCGTGCGCTTGTGAAATGGCGACAAACTTCATTACCTTCTATTTTCTATAGGTGATGCTTTTAAAGCCCCTTGTAGGTCATCAGTATAGTGTTACGGAACAGTTCTTAGTAGGTGTTAGAATTATTGCTCTCATCTGGTGTGCGTGGCGATATGTAACATGTGTATCATAATGAACATTTTTTTTTACTTTTGTACATGCGTATATGTGGGGGTGGGGGTCTTCAATTTTTTTTTTTTTTATTTTGAGGAGATGCTATGTGCTTAGGTGCAACTTTGATATTTTTACTACTAAAAAAAATTTTTTTTTACTTAACTTTTTTTTTCCATCACATTCAGACCAGCGCACACTTAGCCAGTCCTGGGCCTGCAGATGGGCAACCGGAGCTTGGGAGACATATTGAGCGGGGAGGGAAGGGAGGTTCACACGCAAGGGGCGGCGGAGGCTAAAGGTTGAAAAAAGCTACCTGCCCAACGCCCGGAACTACATGTCCAGGGTGATACAAATTGAACATCCCTGTATGATTCTAAAAATCATATAACTTACTCCAGAAAAGGAGTAGCATCCTCTGCTGAGAAGCCAGGGGTAGGAACCCTATTGGTCATACTAGGAACTCTGATTGACTGAGGATAGGTCAGAGGATGGGGAATCCAAGAAGACTTCCTCAGAAGATTGAAGAGTTGCGGCAGGAGTAAACTCCAACCACCAGTGGCATTGCTAATGACGATATCAACAAGTTCATAGAGGTACTTATCTCAAAGGTTAATTGATGTTCTTTGGACGAATCATCAATGCCCCACACATGGAACCGCAGTGCTCTATGCATTTGAATGGACATCAGCATCATTCAAGAAACAAGCTCAGATGCTTGCCACAGGCCATCACATCTAAAGTGTATATATCGAGGAATTTGCTCCAAAAGGTCAATAAAATGAAGACCTTCCCTGGTGATGGAAACTTTAAGGGATTTTACCCAAAGTGATTATGGTTTACAAATCAAAATCATTGCCAACACACGGCAAAGAGTCAGTCTTGTTCATTCAAACTGGGATCTAAGTATGGAATCCAACCATCTTGTCAGTGAAATTCCTAAAGATGAGAACATCATCAACCCATTTGGTAGAATGTCTGTTCACTGGAGCATCTGCAGTGGGGAGAGACGACTGAAAAATAAATCCCCTCTTAAAAAGGACATTTCTCTACATTGCAGAGCGGCACATACAGCATAAACTAGGATAGAAACATCCCCTTTAAATCTGAATCATCTGCAAGTGGCTCAATCACAGCCTTTTAAGTAGACTGTTGACTCTGAACATGAATCAGAGATGGTGACAGGGGTCACAGACACATGTTGAAGGGCCAGAAGGGTCTAAGAGCTAGGGCTAAATTTTGCCAGGGATGGTACAGGAGCACACTTAGACCCTTTGAAGACAATACTGCTCTACTAATTAGGCACAAAAAGTTTACACAAAAGTCCTTGTGCTATGAGGCTTTGGCCTTAACCGATAGAGCTGAAGAAGTGAAGATGAACCTACATATAATAATGGGGGCCCTAGGTTCTAGATTGCAAGCATTGGTTTCTTCCGAGGATACTGGGTAAATGTTCCCAGAATTAATAGGAGTATGGGCTGAGGTAAGCCTCTAAAAGCAGTCATCTGTGTCATCTTTGGCATTATGTAGAACAAATAGGCCCAAAGTGAGGTAAGAACTCGCATACTCACAAAGTCAAGCAGTTAATACTGAGGGCTGCAGACAGCTGAAGGTGACCAAGCCACTGTAGGCAGGCAGTAGAACAAGATTGGAGACCAGAAAATCTACCTAGAGCTACAGAAACAGCAGTGGGGAGTGGCGGAAAAATAAATGCGGAGCTCAGTTTCCTCAACCTCTACCCTTACAGTGGTGAACCCGATAGTGGAAAATTTGAAAAGGCTGTCCAATGGTACCAACAGTGAAGTAGCTTCCGATGTTTCAGCCCAACCGGCCTTACTCACTAAGTGAGCCTCCAGAGACAGGGTCACACCAGATGCTGTGCCACAGTTCTGGACCATGACAGCACTCTGTAGCTAAGCAAGACACTACGCTCACGTCTGGAAGTCCCCACAATGAACAGCCCAGTGCCCAAAGGTCTCATGCCAAGCTAAACCATATTCTTCTAGTACAGAGTGGCCTAGGTATGACTTTCAAAGCTGTTGGTGAGGATAAGTCTTTCCGAATGGCTGCTAAGTAGGGACTATCTCAAGAAGAAGTGTGAAAATCTTGAATGAAGTCACGGAAAGAAAAGATTATCAGTTGTGTTTTTTAAGTCAATAAGAAAAAAATATTACAAAATAAAAAGGCCAGCAAAAATACATCTTTCTTTTTGGGAGAGCTAAGGAAAAGGCATCAAACTGCACACTAGCAACTGGACAGTTAGAGGAGCGGTAATACTGGGGCTGGCCTAACATTT